GGGGGGGGGGGGGGCGAATGCGGCCGCGGCGACTGGAGTTGTCGGTGGAGCTCCATAGGGGGCCACAACATGCTGTCGTGGGTGGGGGGGCGCATGCGGCCGTGGCCACGAAGACCTTCAGTGGCGCTTCTCATGGGGCCACCGAAGCGCTGTTCTGGGTGATGGGAGACGCATGCATGCGGCTGCGGCCACTGGGGTCTTCGGTGGAGCTCTCTTTGGGGCCACGAAGCACTGTACTGGATGTACGGCCACCCTCCTCGTCCGCCTCCGCCTTGTCCTCCTCCTCTCCTGCTCCTGCTCCTCCTCCATCTCCTCCTCCATCACCGCTCCTTATGGAAAAACTCCTCCGTGCCACAACCTGGACGTGTCAGCAGGGCGGGCCAGGAATTTCGCTTGAGACTCCCTCACCATGAAAAATCCTCAAGCTCGCAACTTACAACAGCCTCCAGGATGGAAGGCGGCTCCTTTCCGCCATGCGGCTGTCGCCATAGCGCAGCGAGCAATCCTTTTGTTAAACAAGCTTGCAACAAATCTAGACGTTGGAGGGCGGGCGGCTTTCGAAAAGAACTTCCGCCTCAGCGCCGCGCCCGCTCGCCTCAAAAGTTCGCGGCAGCCTCGAGAGCGGAGGGCGAGGGGTCGTCGCCATGTGGCCCTCGCCTGGGCGCCGCGCACCATTTGTCCGCAGAGCTCGCCACGGCTGCGAGGATGGAGGGCGGCGCCTTTTCAAAAAACGTGGCTCTCGCCGGAGTGCCGCGCAAGTTCGCCTGACAGGTCGGCAACAGCTTGCAGGGCGGAGGGCTGTCGCATCAGCGCACCGCACCATTCGTCTGAAGGGTGTGACAGTTCCACAATCCTAGGCCCGAAGTCCCAGGAAGAATGAGTACCAAGAAGAACGTCTTGCCATAATTCAGGGCTGCCCAGACACAACAGTCACGCTGATTTGCGGCGTTGAAGTCCCAGGACTTGCGCTTTGGCACGATTGTGGATGATCGGACCGTTCCCTTTCAACGTGGCACTCCACGAAGGGACATATGGAGAGGGAACTTGGGGGGAGGGATTAATGCAGAATCGTTGAAGCGCCTTGGGTGTACACTGGCCCTCCTCCTCCTCCATCTGCTTTCCTTGTAAACAACTCCATGTCGCATCTCCAGACTTCTCTGTAGGGCGGGTCGGACGTTTCGTTGGAGACCTCCCCACCACGAATGATCCTCAAGCTTGAATATTGAAACAGCTTGGCGAGTGGAGGGCGGCCCGTTTTCAGAATGTGGTCCTCGCCTCAACGCAGCGCACACTCGTCTTCAAAGTTCGCAAAAGCTTCAAGAGTGGAGAGCCGCTCTTTTTCAAAAATGTGGCTCTCGCCTGAGCGCCGCGCACAGAATAGAGGGCAACGCGTTTTCAAAGTGTGGCTCTCGCCTCAGCGCGCCGCACATGCGTCCTAAAAAATTACCCCAGATTCAAGTCCGTAAAGATTGAAATCCCAAGACTGGTGTTCTCACACGGTTTAGGACTGTCAGGAAGCAACAATCACGGTAACTCGCGGCGTTGAAGTCCCAGGAATGGTCTTCTGGCACGATTCCGGATCGTCAGGACGCAACAGTCACGTTTATTCGCGGCGTGAAGTCCCAAGGCTTGTGCTCTGGCACGATGGAGAACTCTCAGCAAGTTGTCCTCCAATGGAGCACTTCCCGCAACGAACACACATTCTTGAATGCACCGGTGAAGAGGGAACTTGGAGGGAGGGGTTCTTGCAACATCGTTGATGCGTCTTGGGTTTACATTGAAGGTCGCTGGGGGGGCAGCGTTGTTTCGAGGGCCAGATCCCCGCACGCTCGGCGGGCGCGCTTGATCGGTCAACAGCAATCCTTCCAGCCGCCCTTCGCGAGAAGCTCTGATTTCAGGTTTGCTCTTGCCGACGATTGGGCTGCTCATGCTTGCTCTTGCCCTACAAAAGCATTGCCCTCTCCCCCGTCGCCCCAGAAACACAGATCACGTTCGCTGCCCCTCAGCGAGCTTCAAGGTTTACACTCCCTCTCCTCCTGCTCCTCCTCCTCCTCCTCCTCCTCCTCCTCCTCCTCCTCCTCCTCCTCCTCCTCCTCCTCCTCCTCCTCCTCCTGGCGGCTGCGGGTCTGCCCGAGCGCCCGAGCACATTGATCGGGGGCCGACGCAAACCCCCACCCCAGGAGGACGAAGAGGAGGAGGGGGAGGAGGAGGAGAAGGAGGAGGAGGAGGAGGAGGAGGAGAAGCAGGAGGGAGGAGGAGGAGGAGAAGGAGGAGGAGGAGGAAGAGGAACAGGAAGAGGAACAGGAAAAGGAACAGGAACAGGGACAGGAGGTGGCGCCGCCGGGCGAGCGAGCAACTGGAGAAAGAGGCAGGCCTCGCGTGGCTCGGGGGCATTCGCCTCGTCTGAATTTGGACCACAGGATCCGCATTCCTCCCTGGGAAGGTGAGGCACAGCGTGCGAAGCCCCCCAGGGAGGGGAGGAGGAGGAGGAGGAGGAGGAGGAGGAGGAGGAGGAGGAGGAGGAGGAGGAGGAAGAGGAGGAGGAGGAGGAGGAGGAGGAGGAGGAGGAGGAGGAGGAGGAGGATCGCACGTAGATGCGCTCAAATTAATCGGCACCACGCAGCGAGAGCTCGTGCCGCCGCATCCTTGATATCAAAATGCTGCTGGTATGTTGCGTTGGCGGGCCTATCCGGGCAAACCCGCAGTACATGGCAAATATTGCAAGCGAGAGCTAACAGAAAATCGAGCGTTCCCTGGAGGTCTCCCCCGTGCCCTCGTTCTCCTCACCCAGACCGATGCGGACGAGCACCGACGCTGGCAGGAAGGAGCGAGGGAGGGCCAGGAGGTGAAGGAGGTGGGGACAGGTGAGGTAGTGAGCGATCGAATCGCCTGCGTCGGTGCAGTAAAAAACGTGTCCGCGCTGTCCAATGATGTGCATTCTGCTTGTCGTGATCCAGCCACCCGCAAGGGTTTTGAAGGTGCACCTGGACATGGAAGGACGCGTCTGCACCAGCGCTGCGCGGAGAGCCTGCCGCGCGGGGGCCACGAGGAGGAGCGACGAGGTCGGGGAACCCAGCGCGCAATCACTTAGTCAGCGTGAGGGGCAATCTGTCTGGGAGAAGAGAGTGGGTGAGGGAACGAGCGTACACCCCCTGGACACGAGAACGTTCCTGAAACCCTCGACCGAGCACAACCGCTTGTAAAGCGGCCTCGGAGTCCGCACGACGGGGTTCGGAGGAGACCTCAGGGAGCGCCCTGTGTGAAACCCGATCGTGGAAGTGTTGCACGATCGCTTGCTTGGATTGCCAGCACGGTGGGGGCCAGTATTTTTCTACTACCCGCACCAGCGGAACGTGCTCAAGGGCAGCGGCTTCGAGCTCCTCGAACCACGTTTGCCATCCTGCGATCGTATGTGTGGCTGCCCGCCAAGAGACCCCCGCCGCATACACAGGGATCGAGGAGAGGCCAGGCAAACGGCGACCAGTTCTGCATGCTCCAGAGATCGAGGCCCGAAGAGCTGCTGGGAGGGAGCTCGAGGAGCTCGCGGAGACAGCGAGGCCCCTTGGTGAGGAGCGCCGGTGGTGGCGGGCAAGATTGCGCCACGCAGCTGGGTGTTGGAAGGATCGTGAATCCATAGAGGCGGAGGGAGGAGTCGGGAGGCGAGTCCGAGAGAGACACTTTCCATGTTCTCTCCCACAACTTCTGGCTACATGCTGCCCACTGCTGCTCGGGTGTCGCTCCCGGGCCCCATCAGAATGCCTAAGTGCTAGCGTGGCCAACAATGGTAAAAAAGGTCCACGCTGGTGTGGTACCGGCCAGCTCCTCGCGAATCGTCTGCATGACCTCTTGCGTTCACTCAGCCCGAAGAGGGACAATTGCGCACTTCGATTCCTGAAGGTGGAGGGAGGCCATGGCAGCCGCCTTCTGAAAGCTGGGGTAGAGCGCGGCCACGTACTCCAGCTTCGCGAGCACGGCACATAAATCGTCGGCGCATCCACCGAGCGACCCTTCCAAAGGGGAAGGCGGGAGCGCCTGCTCCAGCGAACGAACGATGGGATCCATGCCGAAAGCCCAGAGCGTCCCGCTCAACGGACACCCTTGCATGACCCCCGAGCTTATGAGGAGAAGTGGGACGAGTTCATCCCCGACTCGCGTCGGAGCCAAAGCACCCCTGTAGAGGCCGGCGATCGCGTTGATATAACCTGGTGAGAGGCCTGCGCGGGACAGAACCGCAAATGGCCGTGCGCGGCTCATGCTGGGAAACGCCGCTTCGAGGTCAAATGCGACGAAAATCGGCATGCGCCTGTCACCAAGAGGGTGAAAACCTGCGATGCGGGCTCGAGCGTCTAAGCGAGCAATGTTGAGAAGCGTGGACGCGCTCGCGGGCTAAGCGTGCCAGGGGTCGGTGAATGGCAGTCGCCAGGGCTTTAGCATCGCAGCTTGTCAACGAGAGAGGCCGGACGTCCGAAGCACCGCGCGCGCAATCCTGCGCGTCGCCATCTCTCTCATCCTTCGGTGGGAGCACAAAGACTGAGTGGTTGAGCGAGGGAGGAGCAGGGAGGCACTGAAGAGGCGGAGGAAGATGGGGCAGAGGCAGACGATCGTCGATGGGACCGCGAGCCGTGCCTGGCAGGTGAGGCGGCCGGGCCCCGGAGCCGAATTACGACTGCGACGCAAGACCTCTGCTAGCGCTTCGCGACTGGGGATCCCCAGGTCGGATTTCGGGAAACGCGGCAGGGTCCGATCTAAGAACGCTTCAATATCCGCCGCTGGCACCGCTTCGTCGGAGAAAACCGAGGCCCACTGCGAGCGGAGGGCCGCCGCGAGCTCGGTCGGTGCACGGGCAATCGGGGGCGTCACGGCGTCATGGTGGGCGGGGGGAGGAGGAGAAAGAGGGGGAGAGCACAAGCGGGGGAGAGAGGAGGGAAAGCGAGAACCACCCACAGGGCCCGAAATGCGGTTAACAAGGTGCCCCCCCACAGGGGTCCGGGAGGTTCCTATCTGCTCGTGACGTATGCCATGCAAGATAAAACGCTTGGAAAAAAAAGGTGCCCAGAGAGCGGCACGCCGCTGAAGCCCACGCCGGATCTTCCTCTGCTGCTCGACAGAGGGGGGGCGGACAGCCTGGGCCACACGAGCAGCAGCAAGACGCCGGGCGCGCTCGCACCAATCCTGGTTCAAAGATGTAACCAGGTTTTGAAACTCAATCGAACGCAGCAGCTGGGGACTGGCACCGCTCACATCCAAGAATTGGGACCCAAGCCTGGCGTTACTCTGGGTGCGTCGTGCGGTGCGCATGTCCTCGGACCAAACCGCGCGCGCAATGGCTCGCAGCGTGAGTCTACTACCCTCGAGCGCGTTCTCGTCGCCGTTGCCGACGGCGAACTGCTGCATGTCGTCCCAGGCGAGCTGGGCCGCCAGCTGCATCATCTGCTGCGTGGTTTCGTAGCGTCGCAGGTCGGTCATGTTGGCGGAGTCGAAACTCTCGATCAGTTTGGACAGCCACGTCTTGTACTGCGTCGAACGGAACACAAAATCTGGGATCCCTTGGTCCGTAGTGGTATGCGCCTTTGTCGCAACGATCGTGAGCCTCAGGATTGCGCGGTCGCTGAGCAGGACGTCGTTCAGAGCAGGCGCATCCATTTTCACCTCGAGTGAGCAGCTCAAGCATGGTTGGAACGCCGGCGGCATCGCAACGAATGCTCGGTCAATGGACGTACCAGTGTTGCGTTGCTTGGAGAAGTAGGTAGGGTTGTCCGTTACGATTTCGACCACGTCATTGCGAACTAGGTCCCGCCAAAAACTTAGGCGTTGCTGGTGTCTTCCCTCGCGGGCCTGCCGATGCTGCGAACTTTGCGGGTGCAAGTAAGATTGTGAGGGCAGCTCCGAGTAGTTGAAATCCCCGATCGCCAGGAAGGTGCGGGATTTCGGCTCCGCCAGAGACCACGAGGCATGCTGCTGCCAAGTGGTCCAAACTTGCTGTCGCAAACCATGGTCCAAATCACAGTTGTGTACGTTCCTGACCCTGAGCTCAGTCTGCTTGGCGACGTGCCGTATCTTGAGAACCGCAATGCGGCCTGGGACGATGACCTCGTGCATGATCAGGGGCGTGGGGATGGAGTGCGGTCGGCCGTGCGCACGATCATCTCGAAGTTGATCCGTCTCCGTCGCCTGGGACGAGGAACACAAGTCCTCCAGCACCGTGGTTTTGACACCCGGAGAAGTGTACGGAGTAGTTGGCGGAGGCGGGAGTGCGTTTCAGCATGGTCTCGAGCGCCCCCTGCGTGCCGTGGCATTCATTCTTGGATAACGACCAGCGCTCGGACACGAGATGCAAAACTGAGCATGCTGAGCTTCAGTCGGCAACGGCGTGCAGATCGGCAGATCAAGCCACGCGCGTTCCAGGAAGCAGCTTGTAAAGGTGCATTTGTTTGGGTGGCCTCCCACGGGGGCCCCACTCGTCGTTGAGCCCCCCACCCCGAGGCGTCCACGCTGCGGCAGGCCCGGTCGGAGCGGGCCTTGGCCGCTGCCTTGCCGGTGCCGCACTGCTGGACTGCCCGTGGACTCCAAGTGGAGTGCGGCCGCCTCCCGGAGGCCCTTAGGGGACCACGTCCGCGATCGGCACGTCGCTGTGCTGCGCCATCCCGGCCTGCCGAAGTCCCTTCCGCTGACAGTTCGGGCACACACCAGTCCTGAAAGGTCCTCCTCCTCCTCCTCCTCCTCCTCCTCTCCTCCTCCTCCTCCTCCTCCTCCTCCTTCTCCCCCCTCCTCTCCTCCTCTCCTCCTCCTCCTCCCCTCCTCCTCCTCCTCATCTTCCTCCTCATCTCCCTCCTCCTCCTCCTCCTCCTCCTCCCTCTCTCCTCCTCCTCCTCCTCCTCCTCCTCCTCCTCCTCCTCCCCCACCTCATCCTCCTCCTCCTCCTCTCCCTCCTCCTCCTCCTCCTCCTCCTCCTCACGTGGTTCCTGCGCGTCCGTCTCGGCTCCCGGACCCGAGCTGATGTCGAAGTGCTGCGCTTGACCTCCACCAGACGGGGCGGCGGCTCCTCCATGCTGAAGCGCTGCTGGCCCAGGGGTCACCCTCCCGTCCACACCAGCATCGCGCCAACGTTGCTGCTCCTCTTCGGTAGAGTCCGCTTCTCTGTGGCGGTCTCGCTCGCGCTGCCCATGGCGCGCACGCCACGGGTCCCCTCGTCCTTGCAGCGGGTCAGTGGGTCTCGATGTTCAGCACGTCTGTCACGACGGAGTGATTGTTGTGCCCGGCCGTGGCGAGCAGGGGTTCTGTCCTGGCATGATCCTCCACTCCTGGACGGACGGCCGTCGCCTCGCCCAGGGAGCTCGAACTACTGCGATTCGAGAGAGGCATGCCGCCAGGAAGAGCAGACTCCGGCACGCGTGCGCCGCTACGCGCGGCAGCGTGGGAATGGTTTGAAAACGCGCGAGCGTGTTTGCTCGGAAGATGGTGGCTGGAGCCCACGGCAATGGGATCTCAAGCCGAATTGAC